TTCTGTTGTCTTTTCCCACTTCCATGCATTGCTTGTTTAAAAATAGTTCCTTATCTCATCTGGCTAACCTCTGGAATTGTGCATTTAACTGGGCATTTCTCCCCTTATCACTGTTTCCTTTTGCTTTCCTCCTTTCTTGGGCTACTTCCAGTGTCTCAGCAGACAACCATTTTGCCTTCTTGGTTTTCTTTTTCTTTGGAACGTACTTTGTTGCCGCCTCCTGAACAATGTCGCGGACTTCTGTCCATAGTTCTTCTGGGACTCTGTTTACTAAATCTAGTCCTTCAAATCTGTTCTTCACTTCCACTGTATATTCGCTAGGAATGTTAGTGAGATCATATCTAACTGGTCTGTGTATTTTCCCTGATCTCTTTAGTTTTATTCTAAATTGAGCAATAAGAAGTTCGTGATCTGAGCTACAGTCAGCCCCAGGTCTTGTTTTCACCGACTGGATGGATGTCCGCCACCTTTGGCTGCAAAGGATGTAGTCAATCTGATTTCGGTGTTGACCATCTGGTGAGGTCCATGTATAAAGCCGTCTTTTAGGTTGTTGGAAGAGAGTATTCGTTATACACAGCGCGTTTTCCTGGCAAAATTCTATCAGCCTGCGTCCCGCTTCATTTTGTTCTCCCAGACCATGCTTGCCTGTGATCCCAGTGTCATTTGACTTCCCACCTTGGCATTCCAGTCTCCTGTAATGAAAATAATGTCTCTTTTTGAGGTATTATCCAGTAGGTCCTGCAGATCCTCATAGAACTGATCTACTTCTGCTTCTTCAGCAGCTGTGGTGGGGCGTATATTTGGATCACTGTAATGTTGAAAGGCTTTCCTTGCACTCGAATTGAGATCATTCTGTCATTTTTTGGGTTGTATCCAAGCACCGCTTTAGCGAATTTCTTATTAATTATGAAGGCTACTCCATTTCTTCGATGTTCCTCTTGTCCGCAGTAGTAGATCTGGTGGTCATCTGATGTGAAGTGGCCCATTCCAGTCCATTTCAGTTCGCTGACCCCCCAGAATGTCTATCTTTAGTCTTGACATCTCACCAATAACAACATCCAATTTGCCCTGGCTCATAGATCTTACATTCCAGGTTCCTATGGTGTGTTGATCTTTAGAGCATCGGATTCGTCGTTCACCTCCAGTACCGTCGGCCGCTAGCCTTCCTTTCGGCTTTGAGCTAGCTGCGTCATCACATCTGGGGCTAGTTGAACTTATCCTCTGCTCCTCCCCAGTAGCATTTTGGCCATCTTCCGACCTGGGAGTCCCATCTTCCAATGGCATACCCTGTGCTTTAGCCTTGCCAAACCTGATGGGAACTCTCATTACATAAAGCTATGGAAAGCTGGCAGGTGTCCTCCTGATGAAGTATTCAGTAGTACACAATTGTGAAATAAATTAAAACATGTAAATCAAAAGATATTAATCATTAATTGCAAGCAACGTTCTATGGCATAACTGGTTTGTGGGTTGCAACATGATGCTATTTGTCTTTAAATTAAACATCTCACAATTTTCTCAGCTGTTAAATTAAAGAGATAACTGTTCACGTCAGTACTCCGTCTGAAGGGTACGTTTTCCTACATTCATGGTGACATCTTGAATATTGACTGTTCTGCAGATCAAAGACTACCAGAAAAGATGAAAGGACATATAGTTGATGAGTTAGAGAGATCTATTATCTAGCCTTGCTTTATCTTTTTCTTTGTGTGTGAGTGGCTTATTTAGGCGCCCTTTTAGGAAGCAGATATTTTTGGCTTGAAGGCCTTGAACAAAAATAGTCTTCTGAAGGCCTCATGTAGAAAAAGAGAAAAAACTCTGAGGAATAAGGAGGAAAAAAAAGGGGTGTGTGTGTGTGTGTGTAGATGTCATTATGATAGAGACTTATTCCAATGTGGTTTTCCACATTCATTGAGAGTACAGTATGTATTGTTATGTGTTATCAAGTCAATTTTGACATATAACAATGTTATGAATGAGAGTCCTCTAAACATCCCAATCATCAACAATATTGCTCAGGTCTTGAAAACCTATGGTTATGGCCTATCTTAACTGAGGGCCCTTCTACACTGCTCTATATCCCAGGATCTAATCCTAGCTTATCTGCTTTAAAGTGGATTATATGAGTCTCAACTGCTAGATAATCTGGAATAACCAGATAATCCGGGATCAGACCTTGGGAGGAGCCCCTGGTGGCGCAGTGGGTTAAAGCCCTGTGCTGGCAGGACTGAAGACCAACAGGTTGCAGGTTCGAATCCGGGGAGAGGCGGATGAGCTCCCTCTATCAGCTCCAGCTCCTCATGCGGGGACATGAGAGAAGCCTCCCACAAGGATGATAAAAACATCAAACCATTCAGGCGTCCCCTGGGCAATGTCCTTGCTGACGGCCAATTCTCTCACACCAGGAGTCACTCCTGACACGACAAAATAATAATAATTTAAAAAATCAGATCTTAGGATATAAGGGTCCTGAGTCTGTCCATTTGTAAAGTGGTCTCTCTCTCTCTTTCTCTCTTTTTTTCATGTTGCCCTCCACTTTGCCAAACATTAATATCTGTTCAAAAGAGTTGTATTGACTAATGATATGTCCAAAGTATGATGGCCACAGTTCACTCATTTTGGCTTCTAGTGAGAGTTAAGACTTGATTCGCCAATCGAGAGTTAAGACTTGATTTGCCAATCGATGGTATTCATAGACCTTTCCTCCAGCATCAGAACAGGGCTCCACAGTCACCTACATACCCATCACCAAGATACTACACTTGGAAGGCCATCATACTCAGACAGCGAGGGATTGTCTAAGTAAAAGTAAGTAAATAAATAAACCCTTTAAAGACCACTTGCACTGTTTCTACAATGAGTGGACGATGAGCTGAGATCACAAATTGATGCCCACTAGTAATATTAAGGGCCCATCCTGTGAACTTCTGGTTGCTTTTTTTTATCTGTTTGTTTGTTTTGTTCTGTTAGAAATGTAATACAATGGTATGGTTGCTGATGGCACGATAAATAAATAAATAAATAAATCCTGTGAACTTATATTCACCCGAAAAATCGTCAAAAGCTTTAAAAGACAGGACTGTTGAACGCACTAGAATGGATCTGAAGATGATGCACTTCAGCAGAGTGACAACAAAGGAAACACATCTGATATGAGTGGCGCTGACGATGGTGCATCAGATAACAAAATCAATGATAGAAGCAGAATCTTCAGACACAGAAGGTTACGTTTTGTAAACACACACTAATCATAATCCTAATATTGCACCAAAGACAGTTTAGTAAAAATCTCAGTGATTGCACCCATCACTTTTTATCCTGTGTGGTTTGACAAAGAGAAGCTATGCCAGGTTTTACACTCAGGCAAGATTTGAGATTATAATTCAGGAGGAATGTAGGTTTTACAATGGGGCTGTGCTATGCTGTCATTGTGTTTTATACAATTTGAATTTTGGCTTTAAAACCCCCTCAAACTAATTTTAAATTATTTTAAACTTTTGTAAGAATAATTGTTTTGCTATGCCCTATTGCTTGTATGCCACCTTGGATCTGTACAAGGAGAAAATTATAACACATTTCAACAGATATTTAACAATTAAGTAATTACTAAATATCTGTTAAAACTTATTAATCCATTTAAGCCTTCTGTTAATTTCTAGACCATGACCATATAGCCCGAAAAAACCTACAACAACCCAGTGATTCCAGCCATGAAAGCCTTCGACAATACTCTGTTAATTTTGTTACAATGCCTTTTAAATTATTTTAAGGCTATTTTATAATGCATTTATATTATATTACATACATAAGGATGTGAAAGTATGTCACTTACAAGGCTTTATTATAATGGGCAACATGTGGGTACCACATATAAGTAGCAACATTGTAATGGTACATTAGATCATGAATGGGAGATAGTGCCTGGGGCTGAGGCAGATAGAAATACATTCACTTTATTTGTTTATTAATTCATGCATAATAATATGTCAACTAACTAGCAGTACTTTTCCCCATTCTGTTTCTAAGTTCTTAGCTGTGGTCTCTAGGATGAAAGATTTTAGTGAGAATCTAGCATTATGTTAGATTTCTTTTTCTGCAACTTTGACCAGATCAATTGATGTGAAACCTATAGACCACATGGGAGGTTGCCTCCTTCCATATACTTAAAAATTCTTCTTCTTATTGTCTCTTGTATAGAAGGGCCCCGTGGTGACGTAGTGGGTTAAACTACTGGCTGAAAGGGAGTGGGGTGAGCTCCTGCTGTTAGGCCCAGCTTCTGCCAACCTAGCAGTTTGAAAACATGCAAATATTAGTAGATAAATAGGTACTGCTTCTGAGGGAAGATAATGGCACTCCATGCAGTCATGCTGGCCACATGATCTATGAGGTGTCTATGGACAACACCGGCTCTTCGGCTTAGAGATGGAGATGAGCACCTCCCACCCCACCCCACCCCACACCAGAGTAGGACTCGACTAGACTTAATGTCAGGAGAAACCTTTACTTTTACTATGCTGGTAGAAATTAGGCTTTAACATTGGATGCATCTACTTCTAATTAATGCATTGGTTATCTTCTTAAGTGCTCACTGCAACAGAATCCTGGGATTTGTAGTTTGGAGAGGCACTAGCCCCTTTTCGGTAGAGAAACGCTTTGTAAAACCACCGCTCCCACGATTCCATAGCATTGAGCCATGGCAGTTAAAGTGGTGTCAAACTGCAGTATTTCGAGAGTATTGTAGACGCACCCACTGCCTGCTTTCACTTTGCTTTACAGGAGGACAGACCATAGAGCCCTCGCTTTTGGCGCCTCCTTCCTCCTCTATGATCGAAGCTTCACTTCCGGATTGAGCCGGGTTTATGCTAAAGAACTCCAGCTCAGGTCATTCCGATTGGCCGCCGACTAATCTCGGGGCGGGTAGAAAACACGGTGCTCCGGCGGTGTGTGGGCGGGCCTATGCTAATTAGGCGCCCCCCGCGCGCGCTGATTGGCCGCGTCGCGTTCTGAAGAAAGCCGGGTGAAAGTGGCGGGGGAGCGGCTGCTGGGCTTTGCTGCTCTCCCGCTGCCCTCGGCATGAGTTGTAGCGCGGGGATCGTGGGCTGCAGGCGGGGGGCGTCGCTTCGCTTCCTGCTCCCCAAGGGCTCCGTGGCAGGTAAGCGCCCTCTTCCATTCTCCCGCTGAGGAAATTGCCCCGGGGTGTATTGTAAAGACCTGGGTCGCTGAGGGTTTGGGAAACTCAATGATGGGCCGGCGAGGGAGTGGAGGGAGGAGGAACAGTTCCAGCAGCGTTTGCTTTGATCGGAAAATGTGTTTCAAGCACCTTCCACACTGCTGAATCAAATCCCACACTATCTGCTTTGAACTGGAATATATGGCAGCGTGGACTCCGATAACCCAGTCCAAAGCAGATATTGTGGGATGTTCTGCCTTGATATTCTGGGATATAGGGCTGTGTGGAAGGACCTTCATATTGTTAAAAGAAGTAGTTGCTTGTTCAAAGCTAAGCCACTCCAACATGCTTCGGATTGCAAGATCCCAGTCTTAGGGCTCTTCCACACAGCCCTATAACCCAGAATATCTGGGCAGAAAATCCCTCATTATCAGAGTGTGGACTCCGATAACCCAGGACCCTTCCACACAGCCCTACATCCCAGAATATCAAGGCAGAAAATCCCACCTGAGTCCACACTCAGATAACCAGATATTGTGGGATTTTCTGCCTTGATATTCTGGGATGTAGGCCTGTGTGGAAGGGCCCATAGGCTACCGAGAGAGAGAGAGCTCATACTCCAGTGGACAGGATCAGGACCCAAAATGACTTTAACAGATTAGACCACAGACCCAACCCGAACAAAATGAATTGTAGCGAGGAGAAATGTAAGGCACTATGAAATGAAGTGCACAGACAGAGGTTGGGTGGAACCTGGCTTGAAAACAGTCTATATGAAAGGCATCATAGGGCCCTTCCACACAGCCATATAACCCGGAATATTAAGGCAGAAAATCCACAATATCTTCTTTGAACTGGGTTATCTGAGTCCACACTGCCATATAACCCAGTTCAAAACAAATAATGTGGGATTTTATACAGCTGTGAGGAATAAGCCATAGTAGACCACAAACTAAATCAAGTCAAAAGTGTGATGATGCAGCTAAAAAACCCAATGTGATTCTAGGCTGCATCAATAGGAGAGCTCGACAGGGGGAGTGTGTCCCTGTTGGTGCTGCTGGACCTCTCAGCGGCCTTCGATACCGTCGACCACGGTATCCTTCTGGGACGCCTCGCGGGGATGGGTCTTGGAGGTACTGTTTTGCAGTGGCTCCAGTCATTCCTGGAGGGTCGATCTCAGAAGGTGTTGTTGGGGGACACCTGTTCAACCCCACAACCATTGTCTTGTGGGGTTCCTCAGGGCTCAATATTGTCTCCCATGTTGTTTAACATCTACATGAAGCCGCTGGGGGAGATCATCCAGAGTTTCGGGGTACGGTGTCATCTGTACGCGGATGATGTCCAACTCTGTCACTCCTTTCCACCTGCTACTAAGGAGGCTGTCCAGGTCCTGAACCGGTGCTTGGCCGCTGTGACGGTCTGGATGAGGGCGAACAAATTGAAATTGAATCCAGACAAGACAGAGGTACTCCTGGTCAGTCGCAAGGCCGAACAGGGCATAGGGTTACAGCCTGTGTTGGATGGGGTCGCACTCCCCCTGAAGACGCAGGTTCGCAGCTTGGGTGTGATCCTGGACTCATCGCTGAGCCTGGAACCCCAGGTTTCGGCGGTGACCAGGGGAGCATTTGCACAGCTAAAGCTTGTGCACCAGCTGCACCCGTACCTTGGGAAGTCTGACTTGGCCACGGTAGTCCACGCTCTGGTTACATCCCGTTTAGACTACTGCAACGCTCTCTACGTGGGGTTGCCTTTGAAGACAGCTCGGAAGCTCCAACTAGTCCAACGCTCGGCAGCCATGATTTTAACAGGAGCGGAGCGCAGGGAGCATACAACCCCCCTGTTGCGCCAACTCCACTGGCTACCGATCTGCTACCGGGCTGAATTCAAAGTGCTGGCGTTGGCCTTTAAAGCCCTAAACGGTTCCGGCCCAAGCTACCTATCTGACCGCATCTTTGCCTATGAACCCACCAGGACTTTGAGATCTTCCGGGGAGACCCTGCTCTCGATCCCGCCTGCTTCTCAAGCTCGGCTGGCGGGGACGAGAGATAGGGCCTTCTCGGTGGTGGCTCCTCGGCTGTGGAACGCCCTTCCTACGGACATTAGACTAGCACCATCTCTAATGGTATTCCGCAAAAAGGTGAAGACCTGGATGTTTGTGCAGGCGTTTGAGTAATTTAGTGCAATCTGGTAATGGAACATAGGAATGGAACAATGGACGACGAACCTGGACTACGCTTGGATGATGAGAAGATTGGGTACGGTTGTTTTTCGTAATAATTGTGCATTGTAATTGCTTATTGGTAATTTATGGATAATGTGTTAAGTCAATTGTTATATGTTGCATGGAACCACTGCTGTTTCTACTGTTTTTACTGTTTGTGAACCGCTGTGAGTCGCCTTCGGGCTTGAGATACAGCGGTATATAAGCAAAGTAAATAAATAAATAAATAAATAAATCAGAGCTCTCTGGGCTGTGTGTTGCAACAAGTGTTTGTGTGTCCGCTGCAAGGTGAAAGATTTGTGTAAGATCTATTGTGATACATTGTCATCATTACAATTTATGCATATGTCCATATCTCTTATAAGGGGTTGATTGAACTTCCAGTGTGCGAGTAAAACCGAATTACTGTGTTGCAAAATGATGTGTGTCTCAAAAGTGTGTCACCAGCATGAAATGATGGTGTTGGCCCAAATGGCCCTTGCAGTCTCTTCCAATTTTATGATTCTCTGGTTCCATAAGAATTGCAGTTGAATTTAGGCAGGTCACGGGAGCATGAAGAAGGTGGCAGATCCTGTGACACTGCTGTACCACTGCTTATGGGGGTGGGGGGGGGGGAGGAGGAAGAAAGGGCACTCCATGACCCAGAAGATGGTCTTTACAGTCTCTGCTGTCCTTTTATCCTTCAGGTCTTTCTGCTTGGTGATCATGGTGAGGGACCTGTCCACATGGACTAAAAAATGCCACTTTGTTTCGCCACATTGTTCTAATGTTTTCCTTTTTAGCAGGAGAAAAAGCGGAACCAGAAGCATAGGAAGGCGTCCTGCTGGAAGGAAATCCTTAGGGAATGGTTGGACTTCCTCAGAGAAAGCCTGCCTTTGTTATAGGCCCATTCACACTATACAATTATAGCACTGTAATTCCACTTCATCCACCATGTTTCTTTCTTTGGAATCCTGCAAGCTGGAGAATTGAGACGAAACTACAAAGCCCCCAGATTTCCTAGGATTGTGCTGTGGCAGTTGAAGTGGAGCTAGAATTGTGTAGTGTGAATGGGCTCCAGGTCAGGCATAAGAGTTCTATAGCTTGCTATTCATGATGGTGTTCGATGAATACATACGACCTTACTATACCAAGCTTGCAAACCAGAATTGTGGTAGGATAATCACACATGTTGGGCATCCTGCTGCTGAATTAAATTCCTTCCAGGAATGCAGCACTCCTTTACTATATTGACAGTAAAATCCATCAGTGGCTCTCCGTGCCACTGCCTTCCCATTACTTAAGTAATCTTCCTCTTCTATGCCAGTCTGCTGGCAATTATGTGGCATCAGTGGACATGGTCTGTTCTTCTCCCCTCTCCCCCTTGCTATTCCGAAGCTGGTTGTTTTCATCCCACTGCACTTTCTTTTCTGTTCTTAGTTTTTTTTCTCTCTATGTTACTATAATGCAAAATTGCAGAAAAATAAAATTGGAAAAATCATGAAAAATTCTTGGTAGGTCACAGGGTAGGAAAGATGGATAATAATAATAATAATAATAATAATAATAATAATAATAATATAATCTTTATTTATACCCCGCCACCATCTCCCCCAACGGGGACTCGGAGTGGCTTACATGGGGCCAAGCCAAACAATAAATTACAGTACAAAAATACAAATTGCAGTAAAATAAACAACATAAAAATAAAGTATAAAACATCAAAGCATATAAACAATATACACAAAACATAGAAACCAAAATATAATGACAGAGAGTGGGCCGCATATACATAAAATGATTTAAAAACTCAGGGTGAGATAAAGGGGCAGAACTGTTTGTAAGGGAAAACTCGTAGAGAGACAGAGAAATAAACAAGCCTTCGTAGAGGGGGGGGGGGGGAAGAACTCCTGGAACAAGAATGTTGAGGGAGCAATAGCATAAAATGATGTGACTACTATCCGAAAGCGCAATGGCAGAGCCAGGATTATAGCAGTGGCACAGAAGAGAGAACATAGGATCATCGATTGCCAAACCACTGACAAAGTGCTCCTTCTGAGATGTACTATAATGAATTTAGCTGTCTTGGGATGCTTCCATTCTTCTAAATAATGTGGTTGGGGCGATAAGGTTGGCTAGTGTGATGAAGTCCTTAGACCATGCCGCATGTTCCCATTGTTGAACTAGAACACAAATACAGGCCATCTGGATCATCTGGTAGCTCCTTGGAAGAAGATGTAGATATCCAAGAACAGGAAGCCATATGCTGCAATTACACAGAACTCAAACAGGACGCAGAATGGCCATGAATTGACTCCTTGTGAAGGGCTGTGGTAAACAAATACATTGTCTCTACAGGTAGCCAATAGAACAATAAACTATAAGCAACAAATGGCTTTAAAGAAGTCATTGGAAACTGTTCCCAAATAGGAAACAGCAACAACACTGAAACATTATGAATCGCCATTGTAGTGCACTAAGGGTGCATTCAGATAGCACTTAAAATGCGCGCCCTCTCATGTTTTTCGCTGGGGTGTCCAAACAACGCTTCCGGTGAAAACGAATTCCTTCGGTGCAAAGTATGAAAACCCTGCTTTGTGCTGAAGTAATTTGACAACTGGTAAGACCTGGGTCTTTTCAGCTGCGGGCACTGTGTAGGTGGGGACCAGAGATCCCCATCTACACAGAAAAGCCTTTAAAAAAGAAAATAACTTACTCGGCCTCAATTTCCTCTTCTCCAGAACTCTCCTGGTACATAGAGATGACACACTAGGAGAAGAGA